GAGGGCTGGAGCACCTCTCCTATGAGGACAGGCTGAGAGAGTTGGGCTTGTTCAGCCTGCAGAAGAGAAGGCTGCGGGGAGACCTGATTGCAGCCTTTCAGTACTTACAGGGAGCCTATAGGAAAGATGGGGACAATCTGTTTAGTAGAGACAGCAGTGACAGGACGAGGGGTAATGGTTTTAAACTAAAACAGGGTAGGTTTAGGCTAGACATAAGGAAGAAATTCTTTACAATGAGGGTGGTGAAACACTGGAACGGGTTGCCCAGAGAGGCAGTGGAGGCCCCATCACTGGAAACATTCAAGACCAGGTTGGACAGGGCTCTGAGCAACCTGATCTAGTTAGTGGTGTCCCTGCTTGCTGCGAGGCGCGTTGGACTAGATGACCTCTAGGGGTCCCTTCCAACCCAAAACTTTCTATGATTCTATGATTAACGTTGCAAAGATACTCAAAATGACAGCTTACAGACGAAGATTTCAAAATCCTTTTTCATGTATACAGATTTGTATACTAATTATGTTCAAAGAAACAGAGAACTTTTTTTAACTGCATAAGAACCAGTACTGATCCACCAGTACATGCTGTCTTCTAGGGCTTCTACTCTCAGTATCCAAATACAAGTTCAGACACCCTCCTTAAGCGCTATTTAATGAGATGTTTAAACTCCAGTAATGGGTAACAGACACAGTAAAGCAAATAATGCACCTACATATCAAATTGAAACTTATACTTGGATGTTTTGGTGGTAACTCCAAATCGAACAACAGCCAAGATCAAGGATCCTATCCCCCACCATCTTCATTCTTGTCTAAAATATTAAATTTAAGAGTCACACTAGCAAGTCAAAACCAAACACTGTATATTATCTCCATCTGCATAAGCTACCACATAGGAGACAAAGGACCTCCACGACCCTCTGGAAGTGCAGTTCTTTTAGTGTAATGTTACTGAACTACAGTCATAAAACTACTGTGCAGCAAGAGCCAACAGTCCAATATCTCTGAAATTCAGAAAGACAACAGTGCCTTGATTACGGTAAACGCTGTAGAAAATAGTTTTCTCCACCTACTACAGGCAAATAGGAATTTGCATATTTGTTTATAATAAATAAAATTAGACTCTTTAAAACATGGGGAAAAGGCTGCTGGCTTGCACAAAGAAATATACAAGCTCTTCAAAAGAACAGAGAAAAAAAAACAGATGTGGGCAGAGTGCCTATTATTTGTAAAAACATACTATCAGGCAGAATGACTTTTAGCACAGGAGAAAACGACCCAAGGAGTATCAAATCTCATAGAACATATGTTTCTAACCCCATATGCAAGAAATACATAGTCAAAAACTTCTGATCTTCATGTAACATTCCATATTACTGCAATTCCCAACGCCTCCCGTTCCCTTCATTGTAGTGTGCAGAAGTGACAGACTATTTTCACAAAATCTAAAATTTCAAATATCATTATTTAGACAGAAAAAGGATACTGTTTCATGACTTCTTTGTACTTCACAGTGTCCCTGATATCTGGAGGAGGAAGACACATAGTTTTAGGACATCACTTTTAAAATATCCTTCTTCATCAATTTGCTGACAGGTGAAAGCCCTTCTTTTTCTAGCAAGTCTTCTTTCATCTCAGTAATAGATCCAGCACCAACAGGAAAAATCTTCCAAGTGGCATAAATAAAATCTACCAGATTAGCTATGCTCTCAACATATATATGAAACCCAATGTAATTCACGTGAAACACACCAATTTACGTATCTACCAGCAACCACTTCCGTTTAATTGTATTCTCAGCTGATGAACATCAGTTAACAAAGCATACACATCTAACTATGTTATTAGAGCTCCAGCAGTGGAATACTCTAATTATTCACTTGACATCAATAAAAAAACTTTGGTATCCACACTGCCTTTCTCATCCTCTGGAGAGGCAGGCTGACAAATGTTAGAAAGTTTAACAGGCAGGACCCTCACAAACCTAATGATTGGTAAGCCCTTTGGAACAGCTAAACACAAGGTCTGTTTTATTGTTAATGTATTTTGTCTAAAATTCATGCCTTTTAAAGTGCTTTAAAGACGTTACTTGGTAGCACCTATGGATACCACTGTTCTGGATGTAGGGAACCAGATCGAACCTGCTAAGACACCCACTGCTGACAGAAAAAAACCTACAAGAACCTAAACATATCAAATCACACCACACGATGTAAAAACACGATGGAAGAATGCCTTTGGTCATGAAAATTCATATGTTAAAAACTGGTACGAGAAAGGAATTAAGTTTAAAGAAAAAAAAAAGAAAAATATATTAAAATCCTTATTCTGTTAGGACTTGGAATCTCTTAAAGACAATATACGCAATCTGGTGAAATATCTCACATACCCCGCCCCCCTGCTCCGGCGAAACATTCGAAAATCAGTATACTAAAAATGGTGTTATTTATTTATGGCAAAACATACCTTTTTTCTTCTGATGGACCCCACAAACACGCTACACCTCTAGTCCGGGACCAGCCCCTCCCTCACCCCCCCAGGGGCTAAGCCAGGGCGACAGGACTCACCGATGTTGGCAGGGAAGGGCAGGTCGCGCACTGCGGGGTCCAGGTTGATCACGTACGGGGGGCAGCGTTGCCCATGCAGGTGGGCGGCGAGTCGCTAAGGGGACACGAGGAGGCGTCAGGCCTCGCTAGACATGGAGGTAGCGCTGAGGAAAACCAGCCGCTCCCCAGAGCGCCCCAGCCGCCCCTCACCTGCCCGAAAGTGGTTTTCCCGGA